GAGAGCGCCCGCGCGAGCCGCACGGAGCCTGCGGAGCCAAGCCCGTGCGTGCGGAGGCGCGGAGCAGGTGGCGCAGTCGCCGACGTTAGGGCCAGCGTCGGCGCCGGCGGCAGTGTGGGCGCCGGTGCCCGTGCAGACGTCCCTGTCGGCGTCGGCGTTGGTCCCAGCGCCTGCGCTGGTATCGGTGCCGACGCCAGCTCTCGCAGCGGCGTCGGCGCTTGCGCCGGCGTCGGCGCTGGCGTTGGTTTCGGCGTAGGCGGTAACGCCGGCAGCGCCTGCATCGGTAGCGGAGGCGTCGGCGCTAGCGTCGGTGCTGGCGCTGATGTTGGCGTAGGCCGTGATGCTGGTGCCGACCTCAGCGCAGGCGTTGGTGCTAGTGCTAGGTCCCACGTCAGGGAACCCGGCGCCATGCTTGGACCAACCCATAGCCCAGACCTCGCCGGCCACTGAGCTGGCGTGGGCGATAGCGTCGATGTCGGCGCCTGCGCCGGCAGCCGAGGAGGCGGCGGTGCCCGCGCGGCCCTCGGAGCCGATGGCGTTGATGCCGGCATCGGCGGTGATGTTGGGAGCGTTGGCGCTGGCGCCCGTGCTGGCGGCTGCGGAGGCGGCAACGTCCTCATCGGTGTCGGAGCCGGAGGTGCAGTCGTCGGCATCCAGCCTGGCGGCGGCCCCGGCGTAGGCGTCGGCCCTGGCGCCGTCGCTGTCGTTGATGCCGGCGCAGGCGGGGGCGTCGGGGGCGGCGGCGCCGGTGTCGTAGGTGGGCCCGGTGCCAGCCTGAGCGTCGGCATCGATGTCGGCGTCGGCGCTGGCGTCGGCGTTGGCGCTGATGTTGGCGCCGGCGGTGACGACGGTGCCGACGACGGCGGCGGCGTCGGTGCGGGGGACGGGGCCCTCGTCGGGGCCCGCGGCGCCGAGCCTGGTCCAGTCCATGTCCCAAACCTCGTCGGCCTCCACGTCCGTCTCGGCCTCGGCCGTCTCCGCGGCCCTCCACGTGCCCGCGGTGATGCTCACGATCCCCTGCCCCCCGATGATGGTGCAGGCGGCGACATCGGTGACGAAATCGGCGGCGTCGTTGGTGCCGGAAACGGGGCCCCTGTCGGTGCCCGCGGTGCCGTGCGTGGTCCAATCCATGTCCCAAACCTCGTCGGCCTCCACGTCCGTCTCGGCCTCGGATCCGATCTCCATGAGGCCCCGCGCCTGCTCCGCGGCGGGGTGGCGGCGAGCCCCCACTAACAGTTGCTGCCCCACCTCCAGGGCCTCGTGGGCCTCGCGGGGGAACTCATCGCGTTCCAACCGCGCGACCTCCCAGGTCTCGAGCACGTCCGTCAACCGGTACTGCTTGGCCTCCGCTGGCGCCCCTCCCGCCGCCACGGCGGCTGCCCGCTCCGAGCGGCGCCTCGCGAGCGCGTCTCTGGCGCCCTCAAGGGCCAGCGCGCGCCGGCGCAGCCGTGCTTCCAGCTCGGGGCCGGCCCCGCGCCAGAGATCCGGAGCCGGGTCTGTGCCTGCGCGTGCATTGGCATCGATGCTGGTGAACGCGATGGCGTTGGTGCTGGCGCGCTGGCCGCGATCGATGTTGGCCTCGGCGCTGGTGTACCCGCGGGCGGCGGCGCCGGCATCAACGCAGGCGCCGGCGCTGGCGGTTGCGCCGGCACGGGTGCCAGCGCAGTCGCCGTCGTTGGGGTGGGCCTCATCACTGGCATAGGCACTGTGGGCAGCGCTGCCATAGGCGCTGGCGCCGGGGAGGACGCACGAGGCGCTGTCGTCAGCCCGCTCGCCCTCGCCCGCGCGTCCCCGCCCAGGCATGGCCAGGCCGCCGTCCTCGTTCAGCCCGGCTGGACCTCCCATCGCTGCCTCGCGGATGACGATCCTGTGAACGATGGTGGGGCCAGACTCGTCGTACTCGCCCCTCGTAGCCCATTCCTGCTGAGAAGCGCTCTGCGTGAGGGGGATGGTCCCGCCGATCCACATGGGGTACTTACGCTCGGGCGGTGCCGCGATCTTGATCCTCATCGTCGAGGGCGCCAGGGCGGATAGCTCCTTGTTCATGCGCTCCCCGATCCCGGCGAACAGGGTGATGCCGCCAGACGGAAGCGTGTTGGCGTAGAGGTCCCTGCGGATGTCGACGTCGCACTTCATGATGGACTGGAAGGGGGTGTTGTGGTTGCCGCTGGCTTCCCTGCCGGTGAAGCTGGACTGGAATAGCACCTCAGGGCAGCGGGCACGCTCGCTGCCCACGGTGATGATGCTGCCGCCCGGAAGCTCGTACGCCTTCTCCTCGTCCCCAACCTCGGTGGCAGCCTGCATCTCAGTGTCGCAGACGAGGGCAACGTAGCAGAGCTTCTCCGTAACGTCAGCGACCTTCATCAGGTACCCCGTGAGGTCGCGGCCGGCCAGGTCAAGGCGCAAGATGGTGTACGGCAAGGCATAACCCTCGTAGATTGGCACCCCATGCGACACATCGGCACCCGAGTCCGTCGCGATACAAGTGGCAGGGCCGGAAGCGTGCAACGAGAGCACTGCCGGGATGGCCTCGTACATCGCGTAGAACGTGTGGTGCCAAATCTTCTCCCTATCGTCGCAACTCGTCACGATGCCGTGCTCGATTGGGTACTTCAGCGTCAGCACGCCGCGCCTGCTCTGCGCCCCGTCGCCCACGTAGCCGTCGTTCTGGCCCACCCCGACCATGATGGCCGATCCGAACGCGCCGGCGGAACCGACCGCGCCGCCCCGCCACGGTCCCCCGTCGGCTGGGGGTTGGCAGACAACCTCGGTCGGGGTGCGGGCGTCCTCCTGGAGTGCGGTCCTCCTCATCCTCCTCCGCCTCCTCGTCCTCGCTCTCGGGCGGACCTCCTCCCTCGCCGCTCTCTCGCCATCTGGCGGGCGGAAGGGGGTGGGATTGACCGCCGCGCGGCCCCCCGTCCCCGCTGGCCCAGCGGCCGGCGCCTTCGCTGCCTGCGCCTCTTCATCCTTCTCTCCTCCTACGCCGCCTACTCCTCCTCCTCCTCTGCCGTCGACTCCCTCGGTCGTCGCGAACACGCCAGGTTCGCGCGAGGGCGGCGGGACCGCCTCCTCGGCCTCATCATCCCCGACGGCGCGTAGCTCCGCGACGAAATCCGCGGTGCTGACTCCTGCCTCGCCCCCCGCCCCTGCGGCAGCCTCGAGCCCGTCGATGCGGGCCCGGAGGTTCTCGGCGCCTGTGGCCCCCAGCTCGAAGCTCGTCGTCAGGTGCTCGACGATCGCCATCAAGGTGGCGACGTGCGCGCGGCTCCTCGCCAAGGTCTCCTCGGCACATAATCTGCGCGCCCGCTCGTACTCGCACGCCTGGCTCATCCCTTGGACGAGCCTCTCGGCTATCATCTGCCGTGAAACGCGCTCTCTCCACCGTCGAGTCGCCTCCTCTTCGTAGGCCTGGCGCCACTCCTCAGCACCCACGGCGGCCCGTGACCGCTCTGCCTCCAGGGCGGTGCACCGCGACCGGGCCACGGCCAGCTTCTCCCCGGCGTCGAGCGCCTCGGTCGCCCAAAGCTGCAGGTTGGTGCCCTTCTCGGCCAGCGCAGCCTCCATGCGGCGATGTCGGCACTCGGCTCCCAACACGCAGCAGGCCAACCAACCAGCGGCCAGCCAGCCGAGGTGAAGCAAGTCGAGGCCCAGCCCGCTGCTCCCAGCGCCCCCCACGGAGCTGGCCGCCGCGCGGCTTCGCTCAGCGACGGGGAAAACCGGATCCACCGGAGACGGGGCCTCGCCAGCGCCCGAACCGTTGCTCTGGGCTGCCGGCTGGCCGGACGGTGTCAATGAAGGTCGCTCCGAAGGATCCGGCGCGGCGGGGCTACCCGTAGGTTCGCCACCGCCCCTGCGCCCAGGCCTCTGCCTCAGGGGGGTCGTCGAAGTCGTCGTAGTCGTGGCCGTCGTAGTCCTGGTCACAGCCCGCCGTGCGGACGCCCCCGTCGTCGTAGTCGTAGTCGTCGAGGCACCAGCCGGGCGCACCCCAGGGGGCTTGGCCGGCGGCCCTCGCCCCTTCCCTGCCGCGGGCGCAGGCTTGGCGGGCGCGCCACGCCCCTCGCCGTGCCCACCACCGCCCGCTCCGGGCGCAGGCTTGGCTGGCGCGCCGCGCCCCTCGCCATGCCCACCACCGCCCGCTCCGGGCGCAGGCTTGGCGGGCGCGCCGCGCCCCTGGCCATGCCCACCACCGCCCGCTCCGGGCGCAAGCTTGGCGGGCGCGCCGCGCCCCTTGCCATGCCCACCACCGCCCGCCGTCTGAAGATTCGGCCCGGGCTTGGGTAGCGCCGTCGGCGCGGGGGCCCCAACGCCCGCCGCGCGACCATAAGGCCACCAACCCATCGCCCCCTGGGCCGACCAAGTAACCATAACTGCCAAGTGCGCCATCAGGAAGCCCGCCGCCATGGCACCGCTCCGCCCCGCGCCAGCGACCCTGGGTCGCTAGCGCGAGGATGCCAGCAGTCCCCGGACTGCAGCACCGCGGTTGTGGCCGCCCCGCGGCCCCCCTGCCCACCCGAGTCCTGGCTCGAACTCGAGCCAACGACTACGGACCCAAAATGGCTATGGCAAAGCCCCCGCTTCCCTACGCTTAACCTGCAGTCTACCAACATCACAGACTATACAAGATGATGGTGGTGGTGGTGATGACGAGGATGATGGTGGTGATAATGACAATGATGCTGCTGCTGATGATGATGCTGATGATGATGATGATGCTGATGCTGATGCTGATGCTGATGCTGATGCTGATGCTGATGATGGTGATGATGGTGATGATGATGATGATGATGATGATGTCCTGATGCTGGTGACGGTTACTGTTGTGGCGATGGTGATGGCGATGATGACGAGGATGGTGACGACGATGAGTATGATGATGCGGAGGATGATGATTGAAAGGAGGAGGAGGTGGAGGAGGAGGAGGAGGATAATAATCAGGAGAAGGGGTAGTGGCAGAGCAGGCAGAGGAGGAGCAGGAGGAGGAGGAGCTCATCGAAACCCAGGTGCTCAAGCAGCTCATCCAAGTCCTGAGGAGCTGGCGCCTGCCCGCGGCTTGCTCGCACCAGCAGCGGGCTGGGCCCTCGCCTTTGCACGCATGTCCCGAGATGGAGATGTAGCACGAGTTCTCGAAGGGTCTCTGCAGATTTCTGGATGTTTCGAGCGGTCTCCACGGGATATCGGCAATCCGTCGAGGGTTCGGGGGAGGAGGAGGAGGAGGAGGAGGAGGAGGAGGAGGAGGAGGAGGAGGAGGAGGAAGAGGAGGAAGAGGAGGAGGAGGAGGAGGAGGAGGGGCAGGAGGGGGAGGGGGGAGGAGGGATGAGGAGGAGAGGAGGAGGAGGAGGAGGAGGAAGAGGAGGAGGAGGAGGGGGCAGGAAGAAGATGGTGTGAGGAATGATGAGACTGATGATGATGATGCTGATGATGATGATGATGATGATGATGAGGAGGAGGAGGAGGAGGAGGAGAAACAAATAAAGGAAGATGATGAGGAGGGGGATGAGGAGGAGGTGGGAAAGTGAGAGGATGAGAAAGAGGGGGAGGGCAAGGCGGCGCGGGAGTTTGGGGATGATGATGATGATGATGATGATGGTGATGATGACGATGATGATGATGATGATGATGATGATGATGATGATGATGCTGATGCTGATGATGATGATGATGATGATGATGATGAGGAGGAGGAGGAGGAGGAGGAGGAGGAGGAGGAGGGCCATTATGATCATGATTCATGCTGGTGCGATGCTGATGGTGACGGTGCTGCTGCTGCTGATGATGATAAGCAGGAGCAGCAGCAGGATACGTTGGGACGGTGGAGAAGGAGGGGAAGCTGGACTGGGAGGCAACTTTGTCTACTGGCTGGAGAGACGCGAAGTATGGAGGACAACGGTGGGAGGGGAGGAAACGGGAATGGGGAGGGGGGGCGCTGGGAAGGAGACCAGGAGCCGCGTCCGCCTTGGGGCTCCAGTTCTGCTTGTCTCGCCAGACATCTGTGCTTGCTCGGTTCAAGCCCTGCGTCCTGACCCCTTGGGTTAAGTAGGGTACATCCCTCTACAGGTGGAATATTCAAAACTAGTCAAACAATTGTCCGGGGACGTTTTTTCTATTATTCAACCTCTTCGCTCATTCCGCCAGCCCATTTTTGGGCACCGCTGCGTCGACTGGCCGAGTGGTCGTTGGCGGTGTTGATCTGCAGGGGCGTCGGCTGTTTTCTGAGGCGTTGCGTGGGGCATGATGTTGGGGCGATTCGTCTGGATTTCTTGGGAGTTGACAGAGGAATCGGTCGCTTTTCGCGGGGCGGCTAGTTGTGTGGTGCGTTGTTGACTTCGGGTGCCTTCGTGGGGGTTTGCTGGTCGTGGATGCTCACTCTGGGGCTTGTCGATGGGGCGCAGGGGACATTTGATGCGGCGGTGTTGGGGTCTCCTGGCAGGTGTCGCGGAAGCCTTTTGGAGGCAGTTTTGAAGCTTCTTGAGGCCTCGTCAGGGCCGTTTGGGTGCCCTGGGGGGCTGATTTTGGGCCTCTCGGGGGCTTCTTGGGACTTCTGGGTGCTTTTGGGAGCCTGCTGGCGGTCTCGGTGGTGCCCCTGGGGTCGGAAAGCTTCATTTGTCATTTCGAGTTCCCTCTTTGGGGGCATAATGGGTCGTCTTGGAGCCCTCTTGGGCCCTCTTGAGCGCATCTTTGGGGCATATTGGGCCATCTTGGGGCGATCCTGGGGGGCTCTTGGGCAGTCTTCGACGCCGTGAACCTCCGGACGCCGTCTATGCCAGAAAAGCACGCTTTCCTTAGGAATGGGACGAATTTTGCTTGTTGGGGCCCCCTTGGACCGTCTCGGGGGCGTCTCGGAGCCTTCTTGGCGTGTTCCTGGAGCGCTCTGGGAGGCCTGGAAGGCAGCGCCGAGGAGGAAAACCATTTCTGGGCCGCACTGGCCGGGACCTGCTTGGGGTACTTTTCGTCCGGGAGCCCCCAGAAGCCGCCCCGCGCGCGAACTATAATATATTGTTAACCAGTTACTGGAGAGCTTAGCACGCCTCTGGCCCGGTGGGCCGGCAAATTGTTTGACCATGTTGCATTATTATGTTTTGGTTATTGTAGTGGCCTCTGGCCAGTGCTGCCGATCCGGGGTGCTATCGCTTCTGATTGCAATGGAAGACCTTTTATGTTTAAACGAAGAGCACTCGCTCGAGACATCCTCATTAGATAGAGATGTTGAATTCACTTGGGCAACCGTCGGATATTCGAAAGTGACGATCTCGCGTGAACAGCCAAATTCATGGGATGTCCCCTCCCGCCTTCCGGGCCTGAATGGCGTCAGCCATGGCGTCAGGGCTCCTTCCCTCCACCCCCTCCAGGTCCCCCTCCAGGGCCTGAATGGCGTCAGCCATGACGTCAGCTCCCCCCCCTACCCCCGACTTCCTCCTCTGAGGCCTGAATGGCGTCAGCCACGGCGTTCCCTTCCCCTCTCCTGCCCATGGCGTTTCCCCCTTTCCCCCCCCTCCCCCACTCCTCCTTCCCGGTCCTGAATGGCATCAGCCCCCCCCCCCCCCCGACAGAGCGAAGCCCCCCCCCACCTCCCTCCCGGGCCTGAATGGCGTCCGCCCCCCCCTCCCCTCCTCCCTCCCAGGCATGAATGGCGTCAGCACCCTCACCGACAGAGCGAACCCCCCCCCCTCCCCTCCTCCCTCGCGGGCCTGAATGGCGTCAGACCCCATGGCGTTCCCCCCCCCCTCCCGGGCCTGATTGGCGTCAGGTCCCCCCCCCCTCCTTCTCCCGGGCCTGAATGGCGTCAGCCCCTCCCCCGAACAGAGTGAAGCCCCCCCCCTCCCTCCCAGGCCTGAATGGCGTCAGCCCCCCCCCCCCCACGCTTCCCCCCTTTTTTCCTGGGGCTGAGTGGCGTCAGCGCCCCCCCCCGCCCGACAGACAGAGCGAAGCCTCCCCCGTCCCTCCTCCCTCCCGGGCCTGAATGGCGTCAGCCCCCCCGCCCCCCCCCCCCCCCTCCTCCTTCCCGGGCCTGAATGGCGTCAGCCCCCTCCCCTCCTCCCTCCCGGGCCTGAATGGCGAGGGGAGAGGCTTCGTCGGAAAAAAGGAAGGAGATTTTTCAGAAAGGTGAGGTCTGTCCTGGAGGGGGGGGGTCTGTCGGAGTGGTGGGGGGGTCTGTGAGAGCGGGGGGGGGTCCGGAGGAGAGAAAGCGGAAGAGCGGAAAGGGATATGTCGGAAGGGGGGGTCTTCCTTTTGGGGGGGCTGTCGGAGGGGGGTGTCAGAGAAGAATATTCCTTTCGGAGAGATGGATGTGTGTGTGTGTGTGTTTGTGCTTGTGTGTGTATGTGAGTATGTGTGTATGTGTGTATGTGTGTATGTGTGTATGTGTGTGTATGTGTGTGTGTGTGTGTGTGTGTGCGTGCGTGCGTGCGTGCGTGCGTGCGTGCGTGCGTGCGTGCGTGCGTGCGTGCGTGTGTGTGTGTGTGTGTGTGTCTGTGTGTGTGTGTGTGAGGCGGGGGGGCTTGTGCGTTCAGTGAATTCCGTTGGAATTCGTCCCCTCCTCTCCAGAGCGAAGCTTGAGCGAGCTCAAGCCCACGCTCTCACAAACTCACACGCCGGATCGGCGTATTTTGCATTTGTCCTACAACATGCGCCTGTAGGGGGCCATGCCCGACCTAACCCTTGGGACAAGATCCGCGCCTCTGTCTATCACCCCTTTTCGCGCCTCATCGCCCAGATCTTTCATGGTTGTTTTCCACCCATTCGGCGAGGATAGAAGCGGCTTTCAAACGTGACCGTTTGAACGTTCGGTTCAATGTCTATGTGCCTGGTGCCGGGAGATGCGCCGGCACGCTTTCCCCTCCTCCCTCCCCGCTCGTGTCTGTGAACGGCGAGTGTTCCGATAGTTATGCGAGTGGATCGTCGCCTCCTTCTCTTTTCGTCGGCTTCGGCCAGGCCCCGCTATTCTTCCGCGCCGTCTCTCTTGCTTCCGTGCCGACGACTTTTCCGCTGAATTTTTGCCGCCCCGCCGCTGCTGCCTTCGGTGTCGTCTCGTGGAACGTTCGCGCGCTCTATGGCTCGGGGTTGGGCCGACGGGGCTTTGCTTCGGCGCAAGCCCTCTCAGCTCCGCGGCTTTGTTTCGCTCCCGCGGGGTCGCCAGCAAACAGGAAACCCGCGGCTCTGACGACGGCCTTCGGCCCCACCTTTCCTCAGCAAGCCGTCTCAGCTCCGCGGCTCTGTTCGCTCCCGCGGGGTCGTCAGCATCCAGGAGGCCCGCGGCTCTGACGACGGCCTTCGGCTTCACCTTTCCTCAGTTGATGGGCTACATGGGTCTGGGGCATTTCCTTGCAATGCGAGCGCTGGTGGATGCGCCAGCAACTGCTCCGATGAGATCGCCCAGATGTTCCCGCACATCGCTACACACGCGGTTTCGCATGGTCGTTGTCTATGTATTGATATGGCTTTTCTCACAGCTGCTGCCGCGCGTTCAACTTGCACTTGGACCCTGAGCTTCGGACCCCTGGCAAGAAGCGCGTGCTCGACAGCATCGCGCACTGCGCGTTGCCCCCGCTCGCGCGCTGCACGTGCTTCATCGTTGGCGATTTCAATTACTAGGCTAATGGAAAGGCTCGTTCTGGCCTGGCTGGGCTGCCCTCCTTCCGATCTAGTTCCCTTTCATCCCCATGTTTCACGTGTCCTTCCTGGTCTAGCTGGAATCGTCCAAGATCGCTTTTACCGACAGGTGCGTTCGCGGTATTGAGATCAACCTTGCGCGCAACGATCGCATAGATACCAATACGTGTTCGGCCGTGCTGATCGACCTTGACCCTCGGAGTTTTACGTGTGGCGGGTGGCCCTGCTTCCCCTGGCGAGCTTTCTGATCGCGCCCCAGGCGCCCTCGTGCTTTGCCCCGCTGCGGGGCAGGGGGGTTCGGGCCACCGCGCAGCGGGGTGCTTGGCGCCCAGCCTTCCCAGGGCAGTTCGAACCCGTGCTCGCCGATGCTGGGGAGCGCACCCTGCCCGCGGACCCCATCGCCCGGGCATAAGACGTCGAGGGCGTGGTGCAGGGGGCTGCCACGGGTGTGATGGACCCTGCCCCGCATCGTGCCGCCACCGATGCCCCTCGACAAGTGGATCGTCGCGCCCGTGGTCTGCTTCGTCAGTTCGTCCAACAAGCCCCTGAGCATGTCGAATGGAAGCCCGGTGAAGCCGAGTTGAACCAGCAAAGGACTCCCACGCGACTCTGCTGCTGGGCATCCCCGCCTTCCATGCTTATCGTGGAAGTGATCTGGCCCGCTCGCGCGCGCTGCCCTCTTTGGTTTCTACGAGCAACTAGTTGATTTCGGCACCCCGGGCCCTGGCTTCAATCACTCCCTGGGGGTATTCCTGGCCAGAGGTAGCGCGGCTCACGACGACGTCTGCGTCGATTGTCAGCCTGACCAGACCGGGTCCCTGTGTCTCTCGAACACCGACAACCAGATCATTTCGCTGGCCACCAACCGCTCCCTGAGCCCAGTCTGCCAACGTGCTTGCCACCAAGCTCAACGAGGCTTTATTCCGGGTCCTAACAGGGGCCGACCACATCTGTAATATCGAGTCGAAGGTTCGTGGTCGGTGGTGCCGGGAGGGAGCGTCGGACTCGGGTTTCGCGTTCTTCGACAGTCGCGCCGCTGTGTTGAGCCTGTTGCATGACTTTATCTGGTGAACCCTTCCTCGGATGCATATGCCACCTCATGCTCTGCGCATGCTCAGCCAATTTTCATGGCATGCAGGTCGAGATCGCATGCCGCGGGCGCACTGGCCAACGTTTTTTTTTGTCTCGCCCTGCGTGCGATCGAACAGGGATGCCCCATGTCGGGCTCCGTCTATGTGCTCGCGTTCGACCCTTTCATCCGCGTGACATGTCAGACGCTACCTTCGTATCCATAACCTACTTTCGGTTTTCGCAGACGACGTTGGCCTTGCCGCTGGTGATCTCTATCGCTCCCTCCGCGTCGCCCCACGCGCTGCCGCGCCCTCGCCCTCGCCACTGCCAAGACCGCGCTCGCGTTTGCTGCTGCTGCTGCTGCTGGGAGAGTGGACGCACAACGGCGCCTTGCCGCTGCGGGGCTCAGGGGTCTTGCCTCCCAGATCTCTCCGCGCGTGCGTCATCTCGGGATGTATCTGGGGCAGGGCGGTCTTGCTTGAGAGAAGGTGGGACTGCCCCTGTTCTAAACTGATGTCACGTGTCTGGGATATCAATCATCTTGGGTTGGGCTGTCTGGGAAGCACCGCCCAATGCAATATGCGCGCCTCCCCCGTGCAATCGTTCGTGGGTAAACGTTGTTTCCCCGCGGTCGATGCTGAGCGTGCTGAGTGCAAGTGCCTCCAGGAAAACAGGAATGCCACCGCGAGTCCTGGCGATGGGGTATCCGAAGCCGGTGGGAGCTATGCCTCGTGCCGCCGTGTACCGCTTAGCCCTCACTGCTGCCGCGTCTGGCGATGCTCGGAGGTTATTGGATGAATCCAACACTTCCCCTGAGGCGCTGCTCGTTTATCGTGGCAAGCACTGGTATCAGAACAGCATTATGCATCACTTGAGCAGGGACCAAGACATGCTGAACGCTCTCCCTGCTGTCCCCTTGTTAGGTGCCCCTCGGCTACAGTATCAGACCACCAAGTTCGTTTTCGCTCGTTCGAGTCTTTCCCCAGAAGAGATGATCCGAACACGGTTCCTGTAGTTGTTCGGTTCGGGCATCCCTCCCCCACTGACCTGGTCGTCTTTTCATATTTTTCTGGATGTTTCAATTAATTGCCCCGCCATTCATTCGTGCTGCCTTTGGCAGAGCTGTCTACAATGCCTGGGTCACGTCTCGAAGACCACGTGGGCCCACTCAGTGTTGTATGTCCTGCGTGCGTGACGGGAGCGATGACATTCGTCACCCTGTCTCCTGCCCCCTTGCCGCTCCTGCCCGCCCCTCGTGCTCCCCCCTCCCTCCCTCCTTCTCCGCTGCTGCCGCCGTCTCTCTCGCCTCATCCCTCCTCTCCGAGGCGGGAATTTACAGATGATCACCGCCTGGAGGATCAATTTTCGGGGACCTCGGCAGGCGGTGGATATGGACACATTTGGGCTTCGGGGGGCCAACATATATCCATATCCACCGCCCGCTGGGGCACCAGGACGTCGGTTCCCAGGCGGTGGGTTTTGAAAACATTCCGCCTCGCATCCCCTGAACCTGACTCGAGCTTCGGTTTCCGGGCCGTAACTCGGGCCTCAGGCGGCCGTTCGGGACGATCTGGGCATCCCCAGAAGGCTATCGGCGAGGCGCAGCCCATGGAACGCACCCCGAGGCCGGAAAGCCGCCGAGGACCGTCGCATACGCCCGACAACGCCCGAGGAGGCAGGCGGCCAAGAGGGGGGTGATGCGCGGGCAGCGCCGCCAGCGGCAGCGCGCCTCCTCCTTCCTCCTCCTCCTCCTCCTCGTCCTCCTCCTCCTCCTCCTCCTCCTCCTCCTCCTCCTCCTTCTCCTCCTCCTCCCCCTCCCCCTCCCCCTCCCCCTCCTCCTCCTTCCCGCTCTCGGACGACCAGCTCTTGTCCCGTGCCCCTGTCCTTGGACGCGGCCCACGGGGCGCCGACCCCCCGCCTGCGCGCCGCAGGCACCACCCGCGGCCACGCGCCCCGCCTCCCGCGCGCCTCGCGCTCGGATTCTCGCTTTGCCGTGCTTGAGGCGGGCGTGTCCCTCTACAGGAGGAATATTCCCGAATAGTACCACAAATAGTATGGGGACGATTCTTTGATTATTTTTGGGCTGTTGTTGAGTATTTTGGGGGTCTGTTTCATCATTTGTCCAACATCCGCCTGTAGGATGGCATGCCCGACCTGTGCGTCGCCCGCGCTAGGCGGGTGCGGGCCGCGCCTCGAAGTCGGCCGAGGTGGCCATGGGGGCCGCAGAGCTCCCGCGAGGAGCAGCGGATTCCCGCTTGCCCTTGAACGGGCCTCGTTCGTCTCTTGCTCTTGGCCGCCCTCCTCCTCCGCCTCCTCCTCCTCATCCGCCTCCTCCTATCCTCCTCTCCTCCGCCTCTCCTCCTCCTCTCCTCCTCCTCCTCCTCCTCCTCCTTCTCCTCTCCTCCGCCTCCTCCTCCTCCTCTCCTCCCCTGATCCTCCTCCTCCTGTCCTCCTCCGCCTCCTCCTCTCCTCCTCTTCTGTTCTTCTCTTTGGGGTCGTCCGACTCCTCCTCCTCCGCCTCCCCTCTCCTCCGATGGTGCGCAGCTCCCCTGTTCCGACTGCGCATGACACCAGGGGGCCTTTTTGGGAGTTCTGGGTCCTCTATGACACGCGTCCGCAGACAGTGACACAAAAGCAGCGCAATGGGAAGGTGGGAGGGGTTGCACGTCAGAAATGGCGCAAGCGCACCTAGCTTGTCCTCCTCCTCCTCCTCCTCCTCCTCCTCCTCCTCCTCCCACCCCCCCTCTCTGGCCTCTCCCA